ATCAAAGCCTTCAAATTTCAGAGTAGAACTATGGGTTTTTTTGGAGAGGTCCAATTCCCATCCTGAATTGTTCTACCAAGCTTCTTTCGGTGATCCAGAGAAGCCCCTCACATTGTTCCCTAGAAATCATTTCCTGTCCTCAAAACAAACTGCTAAGCAGAGCAGAACAGCACTGCTTTGTTCCCCAAACTCCCAGAGCTGTTACTGCATCTCAGCACCTCACCTTTGAGATGAGCTTCTACAAGGTTTGGAAATACCCATTTCCAGGTAAAATGCAAGCCATTGCATTATAAATGCCTTCTCCATCTCATCACCCTCTCAGACCTTGCTCCTAGCACCTGAAACATGCGAACCAACAGCTCTACAAAAGGTATCAGAGCAACTGTAGAATATGCCAAAGCTCGGGCAACTTCAGGAAGTGCCGTAGACAGATTCTCTCTTTTCTCCACATGCCCAGAGAGAAGCAGCCAAGAGGAAAAGACTGATTTTTTTTCCTTTTCTTTTCTAAGAAATAGAAACTTGTAACTATCCAGTCGCCTGTTTTGTCTAAAAGCAGAGTGCTCAGTAGGAGAGCAGTATATCCTGAAGATACATCACAAATAGCAGGGCACACTTGGAGGAGCACTTCAAAAAAGGAGATTTCTAGGGAGGAAAGAGTAAGGGCAAGAAGCCTTCATACCTCCCAGCAACCTGCCCTGCCAGAAAAGGGGTATTTGTCCCTTCATTCGGAGTGACAAACTATCTTCAGAAAGGGCTAAACATTAGCAGGCAAGTTGTCTCCCCTCCAACAATCCCACCTATGTCCATACAAAAGAATGGGGAAGTCAATGCTGGGTTTCCACTTAACTTCCTACTAAGGAGCACTGCTTTGAGGCAAGCTTTTCCATTTGCAATCCTAGGGCATAACTGTGGATTTCTCACACCCCAGGCGCACCCCCTTGCGCCTGCTGTAATTCTCATATGTTACTAAACTACTCGAATGACAGGTGGTTCGGCAAGGCAGCAAGAGGCTGGAATGCTGCCAAGAGCCATTGAGGAAACAGCTTGAAATGCATCCCAAAGGACAGGGCAAAAAAAACCCAACTGCACACGCACCTCAGCTCTGCTTTAGGAGAGGTGCCTGCAGAATAAGGACTCAACAAGTTTGCTACGCTCGGGCTTGCCGCCTCAGGAGCCGCTCGCAATCCGAAGCGGGATTTTACTCGTAAAGCAAATTAAGAAGAAACCCAGGTCTGGCTTAAGAATCACATGGTTTTCATGAAAAAAAAACTCCCACTCTGAATGCAACAGAAAGCACATAGCAAATTTTGAGGGGGTGGAGAAGAAAGACGGGCAAGAAAGTGCTGCCTGAGGGCTATGGGCAACTCTATGCACTTTTGTTCTCAGATATATCCAAATGAAAGAGCAAGACATTTTCCTAGTCCCCAATGCCCTGAGTCCTTCCATTAGAGGATGAAAAAAAAAAGAAAAAAGATTCTTGGTTGAGTAGACATATTTGGAAAGTACTTGTTGTGAACCTGCATATACTCACTGGAAGAGAGCTTCACTCCCTGCAGTGTAGTGGGAGTAAGTCAGAGAAAAGGAAGCATTTGGCTTACGTGAACTTGCCATAAGTTTTCCTCCACAGGGGCAATTTTACATTAGCCAAAGAGCGTGGTGAAACTCGGCACAAGCAGTAAATCCTTGTGTGTTGGGCTGTAAATCTTCAGGCAGGCTGTCAAAACCAAAGCTGGGAGATCCAAGCTTGGCAACAGCTGTACGTTTGCAGCCCTAAGGGCAAGAGTGAGGCTCCTTGTGAAACTCTTCTGAAGCACAGTCATACAAAACCTCTTACAAATTCCTAAGCTTGGAAAAGCCTCCACGCTACCTTGTTTCCCCAGCCGACTCATTTTGCTATCGGGTTGCAAGCAGTTGCTCCCCAGCACCATCTGTCACTAGCAGAGCTACTCAACAAACAGCTTGTTCAGGAGCTGCTTCTCCTCCCAAGCAGTGCAAGCCGTCTCAGTGCGAGAGCAGGGTCCTTGCACATAAAACAGACACTTTCCCCTGTTACTGCTTTTATCTAAGCCCTTCAACACAGCTGTACCATAGGCAAAATAAGGGACATCTCAAGGCAGCACAATACCTGAAAAACAAAAAGGGCTGGATGTTAAGGAGTGCAAAGCGAGGCTGGCTCTCACCAAGCCTCCTGAGCTCTCCGTACGATCCGAGTGTTGTGGGAAACAGAGGAAGGCTTGGGAACGACGGGTACCGGAGACATTCCCACGGCTGGTATTCCTTCTGCGCTCCAGCAATGAAACAGCCTTGCGCTCAATGGGACAGAAGACAAATTTCCCCTCTTTTCCTCCCCTTCTCCCCAGACCCATCCCAGATAGCAGCTGGTTTGTTTTAAGTGGATTTACGGCTTTTTGTAAGAGACTGGGCAGTTCTGTCCCAGGAGAAAGGGGGCAAAGTCCCTTCCCCCCCAGGGCACGAAGTAACTGCCCAGAGAGGTTGTGGAGTCTCCTTGTCTGGAGACCTTCAAAACCCGCTTGGACACAGTCCTGTGCCACGTGCTCTAGGTGACCATGCGTGTGCAGGGGGGTTGGACTAGATGACCTCTAGAGGTCCCTTCCAACCTGAAACATTCTATGATTCTATGAAGCAGGTGGGACATCCAAGGCGCCCCACTACATGGCCCAAAGGCGGAGGCATCACAAACACCCTCCACGTCCTCTCTGCCAGGCACCGTCCAGAGGCAGCGACTCTCCCTTGCGACACTGCCAGGCCTTAGAGCCACCGAAGGCAACTCGCTGAGCTGGCGCTGCCAGCACAGCCATCAGGTATGGAGAAAAGCTGCAAGGAGCCCTTGTGTTACCAGAGCTTGAATTCAAAGGTCCTTCACAGCGCGACGACTTCCGACGCGTCCTTGCCAGGGGTGGTTGCTTGTCACTGAGGCACTTGGCCATCTTGCAGCAGTGCGGGAACACTCTGGAAAAGCGGCTGCATCCGCGGCGCTGAGGGTAAAGCAGCCCTGGATGCAGCCTGAGGTGAACTCGTCTGACTGCAGCCTGCAAGTTTGCTCGCCTTGAAACCGCAGCATGTCCTCAGAAGAAACCAGAGAGCTTCTCTCCCCATTGCGCTGACACAGAGCAGTGCGGCAAAGCTACCCCTGATTTTAAGCCTTCCTCTACCTGGCGTTGCCTTCTTCTCCGAAACAGTTTCCACACCCTGCACATCTTACAGCCAGCTCTCCTTGAAAAGTCATTTACACTCACAGTGTTGGAGAAAAAGCAGGTTGTAATTAAGCAGCATTATTAATCCTTTGTCACTTGGGACACCAAGCCTATTCCTATCAAGAGGGCTGCTTGCTACTACGATCAGGACTGGACAGTATGGAAGTGCCTCACCACTTTTTGGAAGAGAATATGAGATCTTAGGAAGCCAAGAATGAACTGCTCACAAATTAGTTGAGCTGGGAGGTTGATCATTTCTGCTCTGCCATCCGCAAGCACTTCTGCTTCTCCGTATCTCTCCCGAAAGCTCCCAGTTTCCCTGTTAAGGGCAGAAGCTACCTCAGACTCCAGCCCAGTCTCTTACATAGCTCATCCATGTCACCTGAGAAGAGAGATCGAAGAACTGCCTGGCAGCCAAGAGACCATTCCTTATCCGGACAGAGGGTCAGGACTCAGATCTTGAGGGCAACTGCTTCACGCTGCACAACCCCCAAGTCCCCAGTGCAAAGCCCTATTACAGCTCAGCTGCTTCATGTACGGTCAAGGCACAGACAGCTCTAATTTGCTTCCCAGACACCACATCCCTGACTGCAAGGGGAGGAAACCGTGACGTCTCTGTTTTAATTAGGATCCAACCGTGTCAGGATTAAAGAGCAGTAAATGGATTGCTTACTGTATCCACAAACAACAAGAAGGTTAACGGAGTCCCTTTCGCTCCTCTTGGCTAAGCTCTGAATATGGAGAAATAATTGGGGGCAGGGAGCAGAGGGGGATTAAATCTTTCCTGCCCCCACTGCTTGAGAGGAGCATCTAGAGTTGATGATTTTGCCTCATATTTACAGCCAATACCTCTCACCTCACAGATACACAGGCTCATTTCACTACCTATACAGCAAGCAAGTGCATCTTGTTGCGCAGCTGATCCACAGAACATGTTGCTTGGAAATTACTCCCCCTTCACACACTGAAATGCATCATTGGAAAAGAAAAAAGAAAAAAAAAAATCACAGTTCAGGTTTTGTTTAAACTAGTTTTGTCAGCACCATGCCCTCCCAGCCTGTTCCCTTCAGTTTTACCAATTCTTTCCTAGGTAGTCTTCTCCTTTCCTTTTCCCACCACATTCCCATGGGAAAACAACAGCAAATTTTCAGGCTGGTTGAGAGTTATTTCGGTTGACCAGCAGCAACACACACAGGCACATCAGCCTGCAAGCAGGGCTGGGAGGAAGCTGGGCCTCCCTCACCTGCCCATCACTCACAGTGGGACCAGAAAGGATCTCCAGCCTCCCCCACCACCACGTTTATGAAAATGGGTTCTTTGTCCTTACCAAGCCAGGACAACACTGGGCAAACATACCAAGTTACAAGCGTCAGACAGGTATCGTCACCATGACAGCCTGTATTTTCTTAGCAGTTTTCTGCACTAGGCTGAGTGTCGTTGGCTGGGTTATTCACAACACTCAAATATTTGGGGAAGGAGAAAGAAAAAGAAAACTAATTGAGGACAAGCCAGGCCAAACCACTGCTGCTCCACGGCATGCACAGAAGAGTCGGAGCAATGCAACCCCGTCCCCAGTGCTGCTACAGCAAGACTTCACCGTTCTTCCAGGAGGAACCAATTTAGAGTTAAGATCCATTCCTAGGCAAGCAGGGGAGATTTTTATTCCCTTCTTTGCTACGCTTTAGCTCTTGGGAGAATCACTTCACCCTTCTCCCTATGCAAAGCAAGGAGAGCCCTACGGAACACGCAGCCTCCCGCTGCAGCAGCGCCCCAGCCAGCACCCACCCCAGCGGGAGCCGGGCTGCCGCCACCGTCTCCATGCGCCTCCTGTCACACGAGCTGATTCCCAGACAATTCCCAGTACATTGGCAAGAAGCATCTCTCAAGGGAGCACCAGGATCTGCCCGGCCAGCCCATCCTCACCCACGCAGCCATTAGCCAGCCTCACGCTTCACTGCAAGACTCTAATTGTCCTCACCTGCAGCACTGTCTTTCCTCGCTGTAAACAGCCCTTGAAGCCCCAGCAGAAAGCCCAGTGAGCCCCTCTCCTGCTCCCCAAACCTTCTTCTGGACACCTCCAGTTCCTCCAGGTCTCCAAGGCTGGCCAGGGAATTGTGAGCCCTCAGGATGGGGATCAGGTGAAAAGGAGATCTCTCCTGGAGATGGGGCTCCCAGCAGGTTCCTCCCCAGCCGCCCCTCTCCAAGCACTCGCAGGCTTCCTGGCCCAGCTCTGCAGTCCATAGGAAGTCAGGAAGCAATCCCTAGGCATCCCCTCTGCTTCAGATCCGTCTCTCTGGCCTTCCCATGCAGGACACATTCCTCGCTCTGCTTTCCTGTGCAGCGGAGCTCACGCAAGCGAGGCGACAGCGACGCAGGCACACGGAAAAAACTGCCAGCCAACAAAGCAGGGAGAAGAGGAATACGAGTCAGAGCTACAGTTTGGGGCAGAGAAAGGGTTATTTGAACCAGGGGGGAAAAAAAAAATAGCAGTGAGCAGCTTCAGGGCCAGGATCTCATAGTAAGCCTCACTTGGCCGTCCAAACTGCAAGGTCATCTCCCTGCTCTATTTTCAAACAAGTCACTCGTTTAACAAAAAGCACGTGACAAAATTCACGCTGCTGCATAGCAGCCTCCCTAGAAACATTAGAAAGCGCTTACTAAACCAGCCAAAGGCCAGGAGCAAGCTCGCTTTCACCTCTCTCATTGCTCTACTGTGGTTAAAGCTTCCAAGTGGAGCCTCCCTGAGAGCGACCTCAGGGCAGGGGAAAAAGAGAATGGAAGTTTGCAGCGGCACATCCAGCTTCTCCCCCTTCAGCCACTCTGGCACAGGTAGGGCTAAAATCACAGCATGCTCTTTGCAAACCTAACAGGTTTGCAGAGGAGACGCTCCACCAGCTGTCTGCAAACACCAGGTTGCTGGAACAGCACGGCGAGGTGCAAACGCACAACAGTCCTGGGGCAGCCGTCCGGGCCGCTGTGACCCCTCTTGCTCAACAGCTCACTTGCTCACTGCGTCTCCAGGCTAAAATAAAACGTGTTAATGAACTCACCGCCACAGAGCAATGAGGAAAAGAAGGGTGCTCACAACATGTTTACAAGTAGATTTTACTAAGGTTTCCCCAATGCACGTGGTTGCGGATCAGGCTGCGTCGCGCTCATCACCTCAGCAGAGCCTCACGGCGAGGGTGGGAGAGCTTGCAAAGTCAAGGGACTTGATAGACTTCGAGGAGAAAATGAATCAACTCTGCATAGATACCATAAGCCGTGCAATGTAAATGGACACCCCAAAGGAATAAAATTCCTCCTGAAGCAGCAGCACACAAGGAAAGAAGGAATGCAGGATTTGAAAGGAAGGTATGAAGGGAAGAAAATGTGATCCAGAAGTAGCATATTTCAGGGAAGCACATACAAGAAAATTCAGAAAGTCTGACAAAAATCAAAAATAATAATAAAAAAGATAGCCATTAACAGAGAAAGAAAAACCTCAAGGCCACTAAAAAAATTCCAAGCACACCAGGAACAAGGTCCAGCCGAAAAATACAAGCCATCCTACAGGAACAAAACATGGCCACTGGCAACCCACAACAAACAGCCTCTGAGAGTTAAACTGCATGCACAGGAGACAAAACTAAGGTTCAGAACTGAAGATCACTCAGTTAGAGGTCTGCAAAGCATGATAGAAGAAAGAAAAAAAAGATGAAAGAGCAGGAATGTGCAGGGTCTTTGAGAGAGAGTAGAAAGAGAAGGAATCAGACATAGTGCTGAGGCACAGAATGAATGGACTGCTATGGATTGCTACGAGATAAGAAACACAAGGAGAAGGAAAAAAAATGCAGGACAGATGCAAAGAAGCTCTTGGAAATAAACAAATAAACAAACATAAATAATTTATACATAAAATATGGATTCAGATACACTACCCAACAAATTATTATAAAATTGGGTGGCAGAAGTACTAATGAGAGGCTTTAAAGGAAGACGATCCTCATCCCTAGTAGATTAAAGTTTAATATTAAAGAATGGGGAAACAGTGGTCAAACTTTTTAAAATGTAGTTACTCTAACCCTTTTACCACTGCAACAGGCCAACAGTTAACCATGGGCATGCTCCAGTTTTGTAAAATGGACCTGCCAGACGAAGCTGGTAGGGACAGGAGAAGCAGTCATTATCATGTGCCCAGAAAAAGAGTTAAAAATACACAGCGGCCCTAAGCAGATGTGCATGGAGTCTGGATGTTTTTGTCCAGGAGGTCATCCCACATGTAATGGCTGAGGGTCTCATGTTATTCAAAACGTGCTTGCACTGACGAATAGAAAACAGGATGAGACTTACGGTGAAAATCAGCATTGGCAGGAAAACTGGGAGGACTGAAAAAAAAAGAGTAGCAGATAAAATACAACAGGGGGTTTTCATGTGTTAAGCAGAATCCCTTCCCGGGTTAAAGCACCCAAGACAGGAGAAGGAGAAAGAGCATGGGAGATGACAACGGGCAGGAGGTTGCAAAGGTGGCTGCATTGCAACAGGTCCACAGGAAACACGAGTGCGTTTTGGGCCTGGGAACACAGAAATGGAATTGCATTGCGGAGCAGCAAGTGGCCTCTGCAACCACAGCTGCAACGTGTTCCAGTACCAAAATGCTGCATCTCCCCTTGGGGTCTGCTGTGATCTGTACGCTGAAGTACTCACCAAAGTGACTCCCCTCCTTTCGGAAACGGACCCAAGAGCAGGACCAAGCTCACCTGAGCAGGCTGCTTCCCTGCAGGCAGAGACAGGTCCCTGCTGCCTCATGCCACACGCACAAAAAAATAACACACACACTCACTCCTTGCTTTCCAAACTCTTTAACCTCAGCCATTGCAAGGTAGGCAGCAGAAAAAGGAAATAACCACAACAATCACCAGCTTTGATGTCATTAAGGGGAAAAAAAATAAAAATAAAAACACCCAGAACCACAGCATCCGGCTCATCTGGGGTTCAGAAAGCTGGGAGCAGATGACAACACAAAGTATTCAGAAAAGAGCCTTGACCAGATGTTCATCTCACATGCTATAAAATGCGGTATGTAACCTCTGGGGCTTTTCTGGAATCCTTTCCTTTGAAGTTGATTGGAGACATGTGCTCAGTTTAGATTCATTTCTGTATTGAAAAGAATTGCACAAAGGCAGTACAGATTTTGGTAAAGAACTCCCTAGGATACCTGTACCCTGTGATTTACTCTTCCGAGAGGAAAGAGATTTCACAGGCTAAAGATAAGGGCATCTTCATGCAGGAGAAGGGACGCTACATGTTTACTGCATGGCTACTAGTAATCACAAGTAATTGAATGCCCTAGAAAAAGTGGTATCAGCACTTGGAGCCTACTAGAACAACATCACATTTTTGATAAGCTGTCAGATAACTAGGCTAGCACAGCCTAGTTAACAAACGAAACACAGGAGAGCAAGTCCCCAGCATTGCAGGGATTTCAAATAAAATTAAGCTTTCAGCAAAATTGCTATTAATTTTCTGAAAGGAGCACACCTTCCATCAGTCACAGCAACAGGGGACACTTGTGCCAGGCTCCGGGAATGAACAAAAGGATGGAATAACAGGCACCAAATCAATTATTATCTGTTTGGGAGGGAAACCGAAAGGAGCTCAAGGAGAAATCCCAAGCACGCTCCTCTGTGACAGACAAAGCCATGCAGAGCAACAAGATAGTGGACGGCACGTCAACGGGGTTACTTTGCAGGCTTGCAGCCAAGCGCACAATATTAAGAACAATATGCAATCAGATGCCTGTTTAGAACATTTTGTTTTCTATACGGGACTAAAAGGAAATCATAATCCAAACATGGGAAGTATCATCACTTATAAGAGACCATTTCCTTACAAGAAATCGTGGCCTCTCTGGAGAACTCGCTGCCTGGAGCTCCTCTGACTTGCTGTGGCATCGGAACGGATTTTTTTAAAGAACAATCTGGAATCATTTAACATTCCCAGAGGTGCAACTCTCTTATTCAAACAAAGCAGCTTTTGCTGAGGTTAGAAGTTTACAGTGAAAATCCCCAATTTGCCCAGGAAACGGCTCGAGAACCTCTCAAACGGACAAACACACATTATTTCAGATGGAGTAAGACTGCTTCTTAAAGGAACCCCAAGCTCCGCAGCTCTCCATCGCTCCAGCAGCTTGAGGAGTCACGGCAGAGCAAGCCAGCCCTCCTCGCAGAGAAGGGAGCGGATCACCTGAGACCACAGCTGAGGGCAGACGAGCTCCACGGAGCGCTGCCAAACGCAGCGGGGCCGCACGAGAGCGCGGCCTTCCACACTTTGCTCCACGTACTGCTCGCTGCGAGGCTTGCCAGGGCCCGAGCGAAGGAAAACGCGGCCAGCTGCGCAGAGGAAGCCTTGCCCTGTCCTCCACGAGGTGGTGGCCGAGAGGAACTGTCTGCCTCGGTGGGACGAGAGGTTTGGGACAGAGGACAGCATTTGCTTATGGACGTTTTTAAGACCCACTGTAGGATCTCTCCAGTTATACTTGCAACAACAGTGCTCCTTCCAAGGAGCCTTCCAAGGAGGCGTACCTCAGTTTTCCAAAGCACACATTTGGAAGTTTTAACAAATTTGGAATATCTCCCAAAGATGATACCCTGAAGGCGCGTGCGCACTGTTTGACAAAAAGTCAGGCCAAATCATGTGCATTTCCCCAAGTCAATGCTTTTCTAGGTACCAGAAGCATGAGACACTATGTTCGAGCACACTGTGTGGGTGGCAGCAAGACTGGGAATGCTTCTGTGCTCGAGCATCATACCGAGATATGAGGTACTCCAGGCCAAATGCA